TTGGTTTTGATGTTTATATTATAGAGTTTCATTCCATTTTACCTATACTTATTATGATTACAGTTTGACAGTTACCGTTTTACATTCCCAGCTTTACATATTTTATGCATTTACCGATCGCTTCTATGGCAGCTATATGATATAGTTGCCCGATTTTTATGAAATTTATACCAAAATTCTAGAATAATAAAAAAAGCTTATATCTCAGAGTAGATAAAAATACGTTGAAAAACAACGAAGCTATAATTTTTTTCCTATTAATTTCCTGATCGGTCCTATGGCAGCTATATCATATAGTCGTCCGATTTTCATAAAATTTTTACCAAAATTCAGAAATAATATAAAATGGCCATATCTTGAAAATGGTGCAAAAATGTTGAAAAACAGCAAAGTTATAATTTTTTTTCGAAAAATATATCGAACATTTGTATGGCAGCTATATGATATAGTCGTCCGATCCGGCCCGTTCCGACATATATAGCAGTGAGAGCATATAGAAGACTATATGCAAAGTTTCATTCAGATAGCTTCAAAACTGAGGGACTAGTTTGCGTAGAAACAGACAGACAGACAGACGGACAGACGGACAGACAGACAGACGGACAGACGGACAGACAGACAGACGGACAGACGGACATGGCTAGATCGACTCGGCTGTTGATGCTGATCAAGAATATATATACTTTATAGGGTCGGAAACGTCTCCTTCACTGCGTTGCAAACTTCTGACTGAAATTATAATACCCTGCAAGGGTATAATGAAAGGATTGCAAGGGTGCAAAGAATTGTGACTAGAAATATTCGGCCTTAGGAGTCGATAGAAGCACTGAGAGAAAATGAATAAAATTATCTTATTAAGAGAAGAGAAGAACTAGGAAAAGATAACGTAAGTAATTGGAGAAATTTGGGATTTAAAGAGCATGAATTAAACTTCGAAGGCGTTATTGTGAATACATAATAATAATGATCTATTGAATGTAATGCCTGATCCGGAGCTTAGAATCTTGGGCCTGCTCTTGCGCATGTTCGTTGTGTGTCCTATATCTCTCGCTTTTTCGTTCATGCCTTACCAGCAATGTACAATCAAAGTACTGGAAAAACAGCAAATTAAAACGGAGGCTTTCCGCTCTTTTGAGTTTCATTCTATTTAAACTTGGATCCAGAACCAAAAAAATGTATTGAAAATATATTTATTGAAAAATTGAAGTATTAAAATATAAAGTGATCAATTTTTTCCCAGTGATATTGCTGAATCAGCTCTTCTGAAGGCGGCTCCTGCTTCTGCAGCGTGTGTGGTGTGTTTGTTTTTCTCCATGTTGTTCTCCTCATCTCTTCTCATACGTATTTCTCTTGTACCAATCTCCATTTCCTTGTTATCCCCGTGTTCTCTGGCGTATTTGCCATGTTGTCTCGGGCATAAAAAACAAAGCAAAACAAAGCTGCTGCTGCTCCGAGGTCCTATTTGTTTGAGGTCGTCCTGCGCCGTGTACCGTTGCTGGATCCTGATTGCCGATCGTTTTCCCTGGTCGCTTTTCAATTGACCGTTGCAAATCGTTGCAACAAGGATCAGCCGGGATAAGCCCCTTCGTTGTATGGCAACATATATTTCCCCCGGTGTTCATTTTTTTGTTTCGCTTTTTCAGTGTCCTTTTCTTCACACGCCCCGCAGAAGAAGGAAGAAAATAATGGAAGGCTTTCTCCTCCACAAACGTTTCTCGTTTTTTTTTGTTTTTGCGGTGATTGGTGATGCGCATTTGATGGCTGCGATCCTCAACAAAAAATTATATATAGTGCAATCCCCCGGACCTGTGTTATCCCTCTGTTCGTGTTTAAGTCTTTGGAAAATCGTTTTTTTGCGCCTTTGCCCATTTCCTGCACAGCTAATTGCGAGAGAAATCTGCTAAGACCCTTGGATCACAGATACCGATGAAGTTTTTGATAAAGATTTCGTTTTAGATTGATTTGTTGGAATCAGAATCAACAGCAGGAGCAGCCGTCGCCGCAACCTACGCATCTGAATAAAAAGGGTGTGAAGTGTAGTGGAGGACCACTTGAAAAATCTCGTTATCCTGTCAGCCGCAGGACTGGGCACTTGGCACCACTGCTCCTTTTGCTGGGAAAACTGCCAGTCATTTATGCCTAGCCCAGGGAAGGGGTTCTTCTTCCAAGTGGTGGAGTGCTCCTTCGGCAGCTGTCTCTCGCCTGCAGCCCCCCGTATCGCTTACAGTCCGAAAAGCAGATGAATGAAAAAGAGCAGCAGCCAGCGATTCTGTCACTCTATAATGCACTCGGAAAAATATAATTGGACTGGAATTAAACTTATAGTAAAACTGCAGCTCAAAATTACATTCGAGGTTGAAAGCATGTAATTAAATATTTTTTTTTTAGAAGGAAATCTTTGTAATTAAAATTTTTAAAAACTTTCCGCCGTCATTTTCCCCGAGTGCAGATGAATGAAAAGAGCAGTAGCTCGTTCTTTGTTCTACCTCCACCTACGACAACAGCGACCAGGAGCTGCAGCAGGCAGGATCAAGCGCAGGCAGAGCCGCCCTTCTTTGTTGGGCTTAGCACTAGTCCAGAGCAGCAGCAGCAATTCATCCTCCTCCTCCTCAGAAAGCACATAAAAACCGAAACCGAACCACTCAAACGCCTCGGCGGGACTCAATTGTTTTCGAGATCAATTTGCAACTTAATTGAAATCCATTTAAAGTAATGAGAGTTACTAACTTGTCCTGACCCGCGACCCTATCCTTTCGGGGACTTTTCTCTTCGTCTATTGTGTGCATGGGCATCACCCTTGCACCCTTTTCGGTGGCTTTTGTTGCCCTGATCCCCTGCTCAAGAATTGTAATCCCACGCGCGCAGTTCAGACGAATGAATACCTGTCGCGGTACCACCTTCCATCTCTCCCGATTGTTCTGATGCTCCTGATTGTCCTGATTGTCCTGCGGCCAGAGATCTATTTGCGAGCCGTGCAAATGCAAATTGTCCCTAATGTAGCTCAAGTGAGTAGCAATCTCTCAACTCCCCGCGGCGAGGATGATTCTTAAAGGGATTTTTGAGGGTGCCCAAAAGTGGGAGCTGGTTCTAAAAATTTACTTGCTTAGTTTATACATTTTAAATAAAAGTTTGTTTGAAATAAAATACTTTTAGATGCAAAATAAATTTATAAGAAATATATATATAAATATATAAAGTTAATAAAAATAAAATTAGATATAATTTTATTTGAACTTTTCTAGAGATTTTTAATATTTAAAAAAATAATTTGAAAGGAATTAATATTCTTTTATTCTTTAGTTTAAATTTGGCCAGAAAATTAATATCCCTGAACCTTATATAAAAGGGATCTAGTTCCTGAGCTCTCAACTCATATGAATTAAAATGGTTTTTTGTGCGCGCAAAAAAATATGCAAAAAAGTCGCTGTCCAAGTCCATTAAAAGGGAATAAGTGCGTGCAAATCCTGGCCGCAGGATGTTTTTCATATTATCAGAACGCATATTACTTCATCGGAAATGAAAGCTCCTCCATCCCCTGCTCTTCCTCTCCAGCGCCACTCTGCCACGCCAAAGTTGTTGCCAAAGTAAACATGTGTGAAGTGCTCCGGAAAGAGGGCGGTTTCCGAGGGCGGGATGATGATGATGATGGTCATGCTGCTGCTGCTGCTAACCATATATATCCATATCCATATCCCAATCCATAAGCATAACCACGCGCCTTTTTTCGTTACACTAAAACCGCAATACAAACACAAGGCACACCCTCGCCCTCGCTCTGACCCTCAGGAGGAGAGATCGATGAATGTGCACCACATTCAAGTTGATCCCCTTGTAAATCTCTAAATTGTTTTATGAACATATTGGCCCGGAAAGGTGTAAACCTAATTTTCCTTTATGAGAGCCGGCAGGTAAAGTGGCGGAGGAAGTGCGTGCTTGCAGTCCGCGTTCCCCGGACTTTTGTTCCGGCACAGCAGGATATGTATATATGTATGTAGATCTCTGTGGGTTGGTAGATAGATATATCAATCTGCAGTTTCCATTGTTGGACCGCCTTGTGCTGAGCCTCATTTAAATCGTACCGCTGGCCAATTTGCATTCGCACCACAGCCAAATTGATCCGCCCTAATCCCCAGTCTCAGTTTGAACTGGACTACGGACTACGGACTGCAAACTCCTTTCCTCCTTTTGCTCCTTTGACCCACGACCGATCTTTATAAGCACGGGATTTGAATTTGCTAGAAAAACAAAACACTCGGCTTCGGCATCGGCTTCGACTTCGGCTTCAGCTTCTCCCTCCTCTGCCTTTTTCGCTTGGTCCTCTACTTCTGGCTGGGATTGGCTTGGATCTGGATTTGGATCCAAGATCCGGCTTGGCTTCTGCTTCTGCTCTGGCTTTGGCTTTGCGCTTGCCCTTTGCGGAGGAAGGATAGCGACTCGAACGGGCCAACATTGAAGTCAGTCAGTGCTTGACACAGTTGAAACGTTTCCGGGCATTTGGGAAAGGGGTTGCTTTCGAGGACACAACTGAATCAGGAATTATAATTTTAATTAAATGTATACATTAGGAGGTGTCTAAACATATTTATTATTATTATTAATAATTTTTTATGCATATAAAAAAAATATTTTAGATAAAGTCTTTAAATTCTAAACCCACTAGGTAGTTAGGAGCTAGACTAGACCTAAAGAAGTTCATTAAAAAGTCAAGACTACTCATAAAAAAGTTCATCAGATAGTTAAGCAACTAGACTAGACATAAAACAGCTTACTAGATCTGCTTGTCTGGTGATGCTAATGACACGTAAAGAACACGTAGCATACTTATGTATATTTTACATTCGTTACACACAGTTTTAAAAATTTTACTTTTGCCATGCAGCTGCGCCATCTGTAACTCGTTTTAGTTTCGGCTCTGTGTGGTAACTCTATTTGCCATCAGCTGTTTTTGAGGCTGCCAACTTGTAGAAACTTGGAATGGTGGCCACACTGTCTACCATCATCTTCTTCTTCATCAAGAAAAACATAAACAAACTTTAGGCTCCCCGAAGCCAATGCAAGAACAGGAAGCGATGACCAGGAAGCGTGGCAGAACCCGAAACAGGAGCAAACAGCGTAATCGTCGTCGTGGCTGCCGACAGAGACGGGAGGGAAAGCCACCGCAGCAGCAGCTACAGAGACCACCACAGCCAACAGCCCGGGAGCAATGGGCAAGGGGAGCCGAGATGTGCATCCAGACAAGTCGCAGTCTCTTTGAATGGCACCACAATCAGGTCATGAGCCTCTGCCAAGGCTTGAGGCAGCAGGAAGCCACCCTGGGAACACAGCACTGCCTGGACTATGTGTATGAGAGTTCCTCGGAAGAGGATGAGCAGGAGGAGGAGCTGGAACAGGACCCGGAGCCCATTGACGAGGGTTATTTAAAGTTCTTGGAGGTCACTATCAAGCACCAGGAAGAACTACGTCGAAGGAGAGCAGACACTACCACCGCCGGTTCAGATGAACTTAGTGATAAGAACTAGAATACTAAAATATATTTTTGGACAAAGAATTGTATGATTAAGACATATTTTTAAGTACAAGACATTCAAAATTTGAAAATATATATTTTTTATTAAATATTGAGCATATTTCGGATATTTTCTTTATATTTCTGAAATTATATAGAATATTTCTCCTATATTATAATTTTCGACGAGATTTATGTATTTTTCTTGCCTTAGAGTTATAGTTTTTGGAAAATTCTCGCTTAAAATTAATTTAATTTAATTTAAGACATAGTTGGACACCAAATTTAAGTTACGAGTATGATAAAAATCACAATTTTAAAATCGTGAAAGCCCTAATCATAACAGTAAAATCTTAAAAAACCCTCCTCAGGGTTAAGAACAGAAATTTGCGTAGGCTGAAGAAAGCAACTGTACTTTGGTTCCTGGAACTCTTCATCTCACTCTTCTCACACCGAAAGTTCTTCACTAATGAAGTTGTGCGAAGACGAGCATTTTTCTTTGTTTCTTTGTTTTTTTTTTGTTGGCCAAAAGGAGACGACGCACATTAACCCGGCCAAGACTAATGCGATGTCATTTATAATCGCTCAGGAAGAACCAGAAGAAAGCTTCAAATTGGGGCAAGACCAAAGAGCAGGATGAGGAGGAGGAGGCGGAGGAGCATGTGACCATTTGTGGGTCAGAGACAGCGTGCATGTGAGTGTGGGCGTGTCAAGTTGGGCATTAGCCAGCATTTTTCGGCACTTTTTGTTGAGCTGAAAAACCTAATTAAGACGTCCGGCTTTTGAGCCCAGCAAAGTGCCAATGGATTTCCCCAAGACTCCTCCCTCGGAGCTACTCTCCAGTCCTCCAGCTCCGTGGAAATCACGACTGGCGACGACAACTGCGAACGACCTTTCTAATGCCCGGCGACTGCATAAATCATGGCCCAAATGGCGGCCACCTGCAACAAGCAGCAGCAGCAAATACAACTGCAACTGTTAATGCACTGAAAAATAAAAAATGGGTTTATTATTTACAAAAAAATATATGATAACTCAATATTTTGGTAAAAAATTTCTAGGAATTATTGTAATTTTAAAGGAATGTGTATTTTAAGTTAACTGACTTCAAATTTCATAGAAAAGAAAAGACTACGTTATTTTGGATAGTGCAACGCGAACGGAAACTCGGCTACAACTTAAAAAGTTGGGATGGTAACTGGGGGAATCACAGCTGGACATTCACCGCACGGGAGCGATAAAAGTTTTGTCAAATCGAAATAGAGATTTCAATAGAAAGTTTGCTGGCTCCACCCACTGAATAAGATGAGCAATGGGGGAGTTTCTTTTCTTAATAAAATAACTATCACATATTAGAGATTATTTTTAAGAGAACTTAATAATATATTTATGAAAAATGGAGAGTAAAGAAGGTTCTTCTTCATTAATAATAATAAACTTAAGAACAAAAGCTTTACAAGAGTCTAAGGTATAATTTACATAGAATATATAGAAATAATTCTTGAAAGCCTAATTCAATAAGAAAGGTCTCAGAGTTAGGTACAGGAAAACCCCTACAAAAAATATAGCCTCAGAAGAATCAGTACTTTTTGAATTTCATATATCACTGCCTTCTTATAACAGAAATCCATAATAGTTTAGTTTAGTCGATGTGGGTACTAATCATGTGTTAACAAAAAGAAGCCTCACAAGCCTAAGAACACAAATCTAAAGAACAGAAGCCCCAGAAGAATCGGAAGCCCCGCAAAATGGCTGCCTCGAGGGCTGGGCCCTTGAGATAACAAAAAAAAACCAAGAGAGAGTGTGAAGGAGAGGCCCCTAATTAAATGGGAGTAACTTGGTAACTTGGCTTGAACATGGCTAATAACCAGCTGACGGAGGAGGAGGAGCTGCCACATGCAACATGAGGAGCTGGAGCTGAAGCTAAGCCAAAAGGGCTGGGCTCTGGCCACCTGTTGCTCTGGTGCTCCTCCCTCCCTCTCTCCCATGACGCCATGTTTGCTGGAGATTTGCATGCGATTACGATCAAACAAACACCCCCGAGATTATATATGAATATTTTATGAGCTGGCAACCGGCTGCTGCTGTTTTGGAGGCCAACAGGCCCGACGACAGTCATGGAGCATTTCAAAGTGCCAGACAAATTGTTGCCTACAAATCAATTAAATTGCTAATCAACAGCGACAACAAAACAAAACGGCAGCAGCACCGGCAAAAACAAATCGTGTATTAGGCTCACAATTTAATGGAGCCACATTCCAGAGAGGCATAGAAGGCTAGAAGCCATTGTTGTTGGCTTTATGTCGTATGGTTAGTCCCTCAACCCGCCGCCAAAGCGACCACAAGAAATGCATAAACATATTGCAGAATTTTGTACTCCTTTTTGTTTACTATTTTTTTTTGTTTTTGGGGCAGAGCAACAGAGGGAGAGGAGATAAATAAAGGGGACAAGACAAAGCCCCTGCCAGACTCTTGGACACTAACAAGTGCGCCAAAGAGCGAATAGGAAACGGGGGTTTGGAGCGGAAAACTAGCACGACCCGAAAAAGCAAAGAAACAGAGACAGAAACAGAAGCAACATGGAAACACCACAGGAGGCATTTGACAAAAAATCAACTGGCCAACATATTTGTGTGCCTGGGATAAATAGGCTTGAATATATTATATATTCAAGGGGTAGATTGGTAGTAAGAATCGTAAATAAGTAGAGGAAGAGGCTTAATAAGAAGGCAATGAAAGCTAGCTGAAATTCCTTTAGGAAATCCAAATAAGAACATTGCATTTACAGAATTTCTCAGCCCCCAAGAGGCCTGACAATATTAAGAATATATGAAATTTCCCTACCATTAGTTCTAATTTAATTCAATCTTAGCCCTATTTGAGGGTGTAATGTTCCTCCACCTTCTAGGGGATTTCTGGATTACCAAAACACCACCCGCTGTGGCAGTTGTCGCCACCATCAACGGCAGCAGCTCTTTGGGTTATTTGAGAGTTAGCTAACTGAGAGCCAGGCGCTGTCGAAATTCGTTCAGATTCAAAGCAAAGCCAGTCCCAGATTCAGATTCAGACGCGGGCTTAGACTTGGATTCGGACTGGGACTCGGACTTGGACTCCGATTCAGACTCCAGTTTCAGGTTACCACGCATGAGACTTTCATGTCGTTCTCCATTTGTCGCCTGGCACCTTTTTTTTACTTCTCTAACTGGTGGTGTGTGAAGAAGGAGTGGCGGGGATCGAATGTGAATGTGGAGGGGATAGGATATGGTTATCCGCTGAGAGAGGAGGGTTGAGAAGCGTGAGAGTCGACAACAAACTGCGCCTGCGCACGCGTTCAATTAGCTGCAAATTGCAAATCGTGCGGCGCATGCGCAACGTCCAACGATGCGATGTCGCCACAAACGGCGGCAACATGTTGCTGCTGCTGCTGCAACGGCAACGGCAACTGCAACAGTTGCTAATGTGTTGTCAACAAAACTCATGTTGACAGCAGAATCGAAAATATTTCATTTCAAATTTGCTGCTGCCCGAGCTGCTGCAGCAGGTGTGGGAAAGAGAAAGGCTCCCAGGGAGCAGGAGAGGTGTCGATGTCCACTGTTAATTGGACACAAGGAGGCAGAGGCAGGGGCAAAAGCAGAAATTGTGGCGGAGGCGGTAAAGAAGGAGGAGGTGGAGCTGGTTACCTTGAGAGAGACACATCCTGTCGCCGGTTGCAACCATAACTCACTAGCAGCAGCCTGTGGACTGAGGATTTGCATGGAGGGAATCGAATTTCTTGCCAAGATTCGAATGTTTTGCCGCTGTTGCGCTGAGTGAATGATAACTGACAGTTGGAACAGCAGCAGCAGCAACAACAATGCCGCTGCAGCAAACATTGCAATGACAACATGTTGCTGCTGCCGTTGCATCCTGAGGGAAGTCGCCTGCTTTTTGCGGCCTTCTCCCCTCGCTTAAATGTCAATAAATATTGGCAATGCTCTCGTCCCAGACGCTGTCATTGTCATGGTTGCTGCGGTCGCCTCAGCAGAAGAAGCATCTAAACACTCGAAAAAAAGAACGAATTTTAGCACAGTAATTAGCTATCAAAAATTTTAATATATTATTCGGTGTTGAGATTTCCATGTTTACTTATTTTACCTTGCATAAACACTGCAAACAAATATATATAATTTATATAGGACATTTTTAAATTGGGTTTTAACAAGAAAGAAAACTAACTTCGGGATGCAGAAATTTGTATACCCTTGCAGTTTGCCATAGGATCCCTGTCATCCAATCAAAAATCTATCATAACTAAGCCAAAAAAGCTTCAAATTCAATTCGGAAAGCTTTTCTGTGCTAGTTTTTTCTAGATTAAAAAATCTGCTTACTAAATTTTACATTTAAAGATATTACAATTTTTGCTACTTTTTTCTGTGACAAATGAACCAATTAAGACCTCAAAAATACAAAAAAAAATTTCGAAAAATGTTTTCCTTCTAAACATAGCTAGATCGACTCGGCTTTTTGTGCTGATCAAGAATATATATGATTTATAGGGTCGGAAATGACTCCTTCGCTAAATAAAATCATAAAAACCCCTGAAGAAGATCTGAAATATTCGCTTTCTCTAAATGAATATTTTTTAGTGTAATTTTTTTAGATATACAAAGCTTAAAAAAACCATAACTAAGCCAAAAAAGCATCAAATTCAATTCGGAAAGTTTTTCTGTGCTAGTTTTTCCCAGATAAACAAATCGGCTTACTAAATTTCACATTTTAAGATATAAAAATTTTTGCTACTTTTTTCTGTGACAATTGAACCAATTAAGACCTCAAAAATACAAAAAAAATTTCGAAAAATGTTTTCCTTCTAAACATGGCTAGATCGACTCGGCTTTTTGTGCTGATCAAGAATATATATGATTTATAGGCTCGGAAATGACTCCTTCGCTAAATAAAATCATAAAACCCCTCAAAAAGATCTGAAATATCCACTTTCTTTAAATGAATATTTTTATATATATTCGAAATAAAGTGTTGTTAAAAATTGAATTTCCTAAATTTTATTAAGCATAAAAAGTATTGATAGCTTTAAAGATTTCTCCCAGTGCAGCAGCTGCTTGGAATGCCGGCAATGATCTC